GAATTTTCTGTAAAGTACAAAGTTAGTGTAAGGACAATTGATAATTACATCAAAAGTATAATATTCCTTATGAAAAACATGTTTTTGGTATTAATATTCCAAAAGATAAATTTCGGAGATATACATTCAATAGCTATATTGTTCAAGATCCGAATGGTATTTTAAATAAGCTTCGTAAACAGAAGCATGATAAAATAATGCCTTTGTGCTGAATGTGCTGAAATAATGCAATGTGCTGAAAAATCACAAATCAACAATAATTTTAATAATAACCAAAAGGGTTCTAAGAATCCAATGGGCTGTATTGATAAGATAGATTTCAAAATATTAAGCAGTATTGCTGCTCAAGACCCAAAGGTGTCTTCAAAGTCTTTGAAACAACAAAGTCTAACTTATCCAAAGAAATTAAAATGGATTGATGCAGCTTTGGAATTTTGAAAGAATTTGATCCAAGGAACCATCAGATCGGTTTTAACTCTTACAGATAACTTAGATAAACTATACATAAAATAATTAATTTATTTTTCTACTTTAGTTGTAGAAACAAATAATAAACCATTATCAGAATATATGAATAAATCAATTTAAAATATTTTAATTTCATGATTTTAAACCATCTTTTCCAAAGGAGGAATTTATACTTACCCTAAAAACCACTTTAAAAATATATATGAAGAAAGGGATTAATTTTAGAGATGAAATGCTTCACATTGTAGAAACTAGGTATTTTTATAAAAACAGTATTACAACTATCAATGCATCCGCTTCAATTGATGGTACTGTACATGTATATCAATCTAATAAAATTTGCTATATTTCCGTCAATTATTTACTTATGCATTGATAATGTCTGTTATAAAAAAGTTGTGGAAGGAGCACTTTTTATTATTAATCTGTCCTATGTTGTTCCCGAAAATATTCATGTTGACCTGCGTAGGCGATCCTGAATATTTTTGTGTTTACATCGGAACGTTTTTTTATACTAGATGTTTTTATACGCTATGCATCACAATTTTTATATTAAAACAAACTTTTAAAATATAATTTTTTTTTGTTTCTATATTATTCAATATATTTATTTTGTTTGTGAAACACAAAAAAAATAATTTTTTACAATACAGTAAACACAATTTAAAAAAAATTTTAGGCTTAACATTGATGAAAATTCAACATGGCGTCACAGGCAACAAATAAAAATTTCAGCATCAAACAGGTTAAAGCAAAAAGTATTTTACAAATATTTGTTTCGTTTCTCTTTAGATTACTACAAAATAAATTATCCTACGCTGAAACCTATTGCATCGAAGATGCATCTGGACTCCATTCAAGGCACCTTTGTAACTGTTCTGTTTCATAAAATATTAAAAGAACAGAAGATTGTTCTATGCTATTAACTTAATTTTTTCCAGCAGAAAAACTGGACAAATATATTGATTTGGATGAAAATATACTGAATCCACTTCAAATGAAATAGCTCCAGGCCAACAAACTTTTTACTTGCAAGTGACCAATCAAACGTGTTTGCATAAAGGTCAAGACAATGAGTTCTGCAAAGAGGCCTGACTTGTACAATACAAATACATTTTGCCCAGTTCAAGTGATTTTCAATACAAAATTCAAGAAGTTTCAACCAACAAGCAAGGACCAACTCAATCTGAATGACCTTAAGGCTATTTTTGGTTTCCCAAATTCCTTAAACCCCTTTTCTCAAAAGTGAAGCCATGACAGACTGCTTTCATGTTGAATGTTTTAAAACCTATGGGGCACCTCCGACAATAACTTCCAAATTATGCCCCATTACGCCGATTTCTATCTTGAATCCTGATGTTGGTCTTTTCTTCTTCACAGTAGTGGTTAAGCAGTGGGACACAATTACCAATAAGCCCGAGACAGGGTTGAACAACAAGGAGGAAATAACCCAGACATTACACGAGTATTGATTTACGTGATAATCAAAATGTACTAAATGAAGATTCCTTATCATGTGGATAGAAAGATCATAAATAGGAGTGTGAAACTGATAGTCACTACAACTTTAGAATGGCCTTCAAGCAGCTTTAAGCATGCCTATTTAGTACAAAGACGATAGTTACTTCCGGCATCCTGGCTTTGTATTGTATTGTCACACTTATTTTGCTATTCTTTGGCATGATGAGGAAGACCACATTGACAGTATCGCCTGTTATGAAGTACAGTGACAAAAACGTTCTTAGACACAGTTAAATTTATTAAGTTGGCAATCACAACTAAAACACTGCAAGATGTCATTCAACACGATACCTGAAAAGAACGACAATACTGACTTTCTCATTTCACAGTCTTTTGCTTGTCCCGGGATTCTGGGATAATAAGCAGGGCTGGATCATTGCATAGAACCATAGACAAATGAGACAAATGTCTAAGGCCCAGTTTTTAGAAGGGCCCAGTCAAACTGCCTATTTTGAAAAGATTTGTAAATAAGATTTATTTACAAATCTTAAAATTTTTACAATTTCATGATAAACTCAGGATATTTTTCTTCTAATTATCAATTAGAGTTCAGACTATGTACAAAAAATTATTTAATTAATTTTTGAGTCTATCAAATCCTTTTTTCGTACACCATAGAAGTAGCCTTTACATTGGTTTGAAGAAATCACTTCATAAAAACGAATAACAATAGGTAAAATTTACAATTAAAAACGATCAGACGTCAGCCTTTCATTTTAGGTATCTGACGCCTTAACATTAAAAATTAAGTAAATCTTCTCACCAACTGCCAAGTTTTATACCATCTGTATCAGGTTCAAGCCCTCTAGTGGTGGATACGAGTTATCTTTGATTTGCAT